AAAAAACAAGTGCTAAGTTAAAACAAACCAAGAGAATCAAAGCTTTTTTTTTGAAAGTAATTTCCATTTATTATAAGATTTAAAGGATAGATAGATAGATAGATAGATAGATAGATAGATTGATTCTTTGCAAGCTCTTGCTACATGTGAAATTTGAACTAAGAATAAAGTACCTTCCTTACTCTTGACACGTAAATAATTCACTAAATACCACTCCTGGTACCCAGCTCTAGTCTGCCCTGTTAATTCAAAGCAAAAACAGTGGAAGTGGAGAGGAAAAGAGAAACAAAGTCAGGTAAGCCAGTGACAAGGACAGTACTGTCAGCATTCCCTGTGCCCAGGAAAATCTCCATTTAAAGGCACCTTTACAAATAGGCACCTGCAACTTTTTTTTTTTAAACAAAAACATTGACTAGGCATATGTAGTAACTTGGATAAATGAAAAATCACAGGAAAGATACAGCATTAAGGCTCAAAACTGACTCAATGAAAAATAAATTCAATTTTCTGAAATAAACATTTTTCCTACTTTCTTGATTTCTATTTGAAAGATGGAGTACTGTGCACAAGAGACAAAGACAGTGATTTGAACTTAGGGTCTCTCAGGATGCACAGCAGTGCACATGCAAAAGAACAAGGCCAGAGGGGAGAAAAATAATGTAGTCCTGAAACTCGATTAACTTCCTTAACAACTGCAAAGCTCAGTTCCCAAACATGTGGGACTATGTAGAAAACAAGTGTATTAAGCAACAAGGTAATAATTAAGGATGACTTCCCCAGTGAATGAGGCAGTAAAACAGAAGGAAATTATTGACCTTGGAAATATTCTTGCTGTTTAGATCAATCAATGCCTTCTGCACGAGTAGAAAGTTGTCTGATTGCATGTAATTTTCACCTGGTATAAACAGCACACAAAATTTTATTTAATTGGTCCAAGTCATGATAGGGTCTAGAATCAAATGTATACTCTGGATAAAACAAAGTACACAAGGTCTCCTTAGGACTGAAGTTAAACATTTCTTACAAATGAAAGATTTCTAAAGGATGGCCAGAATTTTATGTATTCAAGGATTTAATATTCTCACATTCTCTCAAAGTGAGGCCCAGGAGACTAGGTGTTGCCAAAGCTGGGTCTTAATGAAATCATTTCCATTCCCAACTTCTATCTAACACAGTATTAACCAAGGACTCTGTCCCCCTTCCCACCAAGGTCACTTTAAAGCCATGCAATCAATCTCCTTTCCTGGCTGCTAACTCTTTCTGAACGGCACTGAATGCCTCAGACCACTGCTGTTCTTTGTATACATGAAAACACTGGGAAAAGACTCTAAGAAATTCCTGTGCCATCTATCTTTAAATATTATAACTTCCTTTTTCTCATTACATTATCTGAAATTGAAACTCGATGGAAATAATAGTCAACAGGTACAAAAATATAAACTACTGGTCTTTTGTTGTGCAAGATGACCCAGAACCAAGTATTAAAGAACTGAGCTTCCACAGCCCTTACCTACAGTGCAGCAGGGTGGCCCGGGTCCGCACTGTGACCAGAACCCACATGGTGCAAGGAGAGACCTGACTCCTGCAAGTGTGTTTTCTGACTTCCATGTTAGTGTACATGCTAGTGTGTACACACCTCCAATAAAAAAAAATAAAAACAGTTCTTACTGAACATTAAAAAGATGTCGACCATTTCAACAGTGCTGGCTTTTTCTATCTATTTCATGACACCTCATTATCGAGAATTGCTTTCTATATGTAAGATACAGGTTCCCAGGTATTGAAGGTTGACCATGAAAATCTGCTATGTAGAGGAAAGAGGTAATCTTGAACTTCTAATTCTCCTGTCTCCACTTACAGGCATGCTCGTAATGCCTGGTCCATGAGGACTGCTTTCCTAAGCATCAGCATCCCACATTTTCTTAACTTTTTTGATGGGGATGTGTTTGTGAAACATGCGGTCATTTTTATTATAAACAATCATTTTTAATACAAGGTGGCCAAATAACAAACACAAATAGTTATTACTGAGAAGATAATAACAATTAAATTTTCTATATTACTTAACAAATACTTACAAGTGTTCTTGGAAGGCACTTAAGTCATCCAATTAAGTGCCAAAGAAAAGTGCCAAAGATGAGCTATGCCAACTGAGAGTGTGCCACAAACAGTGAAGAACATAACAGCAAAGCTACAAAGGTCTTTGGCACAGCATGACATGCTTTTGAGAGCTGGCTCATGGTCCTGTTAGAACATGAATTTGAAGAGCTGCAAAAGAGAGGGACAATATTATAAGACAAATGGACAACACAATGTGGTACAAAGTGTGTAAACTCACACTTGAATATAATTCTACCGTAACAGAAATAGATGTGACTTTAAAACCATGTCAATTGACATATACGTATCACAAAAAGCCAAGTGTTGTATGGTTTTACATGATGCATTTAGATTTACTCGATTCACAAGAAACAAAATAGTGAGTAAAGAGGCTGGCACCAGGAGAGCATGAGAAGCTGTGGCTAACATATATGATAAAGAAACAAGAAAATCTCACAGGCTGCCAAGAAGAAATCCAAAGCTGTAATGTAGCAGATCACCTTACACCATACTGCCTGGCAACCAGCAATCTACATTATAATTAAATCACAGCAATAACGGTTAGACTCAGGAAAGGCAGTCCATCTATTGTCCTTCTATTACAAGGCTTAAAAAACAAACGACAACAAAAACACCCTGCCACCACAAGTTACATCAACCTGTTGAAATCATCATTACTCCACATAGCAGGATGGGCTATGAATGAAGTTAAGACTTCATAAGGCTCTCTACCCTTAAGTATTATTTCCTTCTTAGGATGTGTACAGACCCTAAGATCTACATACACATATACAAATAAACATATGTATGTATCTTAGGTTATCAAAATAAAATGAGTATGTGTATATATTTAACTTATCCTTCAATTACTGTATAATTTTAAATAAAAAATCAACAAATAAGCTTTTCTAGGAGCTGTGTGGCATTCTACAAACAAGAAAACATAAATCTTGGACTCAAACATGTGACTGGATTGAAAACTAGCATATGCGGTATTAGGTTACCACTGTGGCATTTCTGAACAATTTGTCTTAGTAGATTCTCCTTCCCCTTTCATCTCTCTCAGCTCCCCGCTTCCCTCAACCCTGCTTAGTACCCCGCCCGTCTCTCCCAATTTCAGTTGCAAGAGTTTTTTTCCAGCACTCCAATTCCTCACTTCTTTGTGTTTTTGATATACATAGTGTGGACTGGATCACTCACTCCGTGAGCAACATCATATCACAAAGTTTGCCTCCAGGATAGTTTCCTCTCCTTCCCAGGGCTTCACAGTCCACAGTCCTCAAAGCCTGCGTTGTCTGAAACACCACTGACAGCCACAATGATGGCATTCATCTTCTGTGCTATATTTTAAGGGGAAGTTGTTCTTAAAAGGTTCCCACTGTAGAGCTGGCTGAGTGAGACAGTGAGATGAAGCACTCAATGGCACCATCTCACCACCATATACAACACCCGAGCTGCAGAATTTGGCAACATCTCACCATCAAAATAAAACACCCAGTTGCAGAATGTGTCAGTTTCTAAATTTTTCCATCAGTATTACCACTGCCTCCATTTCGGGACAAGTGGCCACACCTGGAAGCTGGCCTTCCAGAATTCATGTAAACTCTAACAGTAGCCATCAAGACAGGAGCTGTGGTAAATGAGAATTCCTCTCCTGCCAAATCTTCCATTCTTTCTTTACTAGTTAACTTGTGAAATGTATTTTCAACCATTACATGTGACAGCCTCAGAGTGAACTCAGAAGAAAGTGACTTATGAACCCTAAGACACTTCTTTAGGGCACATTGTGGCACTGGATCTGTCAACTACATCCAGAAACCGACAAACTGTAAAATCATGGACAACCTGCCCTGATTATGTTCACCCTTAAAATGCTGTAAGTAAGAGACATACTCAAGACATTCTTTGACTTTGAGTTGTCACTTATCTGCCTATCATTCTCCTGTTTGGATTTTCACAGGAATCATTGGAAAAAGCCTGACAGTAATTTCAATACACTTTGATTCATCTTAGTAGTTCCAACTGGACATTAAAGCAGAGCTGTTTAATGTGAAAACTTCTGACAAAGTATACGTAATTATGAGACTGTATATGTAGGTAATCCATGTGAGTGATGTTCAAGTAACCTATGGTAACTGTGAATCTTCCTTGCTTTGCTTGACATTTTGCTCTCTTGTAGAGGCACTCTTTATCTAAGGTACAACACAGTTTATTTTGTTTACTGCCCATCCACCATCCATCTTAAAGCAGTGTGGGAAAGGGTCTGTGTTTCCCACTGACATGTCCCAAGAGCCAAGAACAGTACCCACACAAATACTTTATATCTAAGAAGCATAAATGCATCAGCAAACAAGAGTTCCCAGAGAAGCTAGTGAAGTTTGTTTCCTCACTGCTTCCCAGAGTGGTCATGGCAACACCATCAAAGTTTATGAAAGAACTTTGTTCTTTGGGAGATTCTTAAGCATAAGCAAGCAACTGGGAATCTACCAATTCCCTCAATTTTCTGACTGTGTCCTGAAAGTCTGGCTGTCAACTGTGAATGGAGAAAAGAGGGAAAGGAGGCATGGATAAAGCAGAGAAACAAGGGTGAAGGTACTGATCACGCAGCAATGGCTAAAGGCAGTTGTGAGGAGAAAAAGTGCCGTTTCTAGAATTGGAGTGAACTGGATTAGCTTTTTTGTTTTGAGCACTTGCATGTTCATGTGTATGGGTGCATGCACAAGTCAGAGGTCTAGCATGGATGTCATTCCTCAGGAGCTATTCATCTTACTGTCTGAGACAGGGTCTCAGTAGAACCTGAGGCTAGCTGAACAGGCTAAGGTGACTGGCCAGTAAGGGCCAGAGCTTCTGTTCTGTGTCTATCCCCACTCCCCCTCCTTCCCCTGATGTGGGATGTCCTTCTGTATATGTGTTCATTTTATTGCTTAATGAATAAAGCTGTTTTGACCAATGGCTTAGCAGAGTAAAGCCAGGCAGGAAATCCAAACAGAGATAGAGAGTAGGTGGAGTCAAGGAGATGCCATGTAGTTATTGAAGGAGAAAGACACAGGAACTTTACCAATAAGCCAAAGCCTCATTGTGATACATAGACTAATATGAATGAGTTAAGATATAAGAGTTAGTTAATAAGAAGCCTGAGCTAAGAGGCCAAAAAGTGTTGTAATTAATAAAGTTTCTTGATGGGGAACCTTCAGCCAATGACCTTTAAGAGCCTGGACAAGGTTGGGGTGTGACCTTTTGGGTACCCAGAGAAAACCAGCCATCTGCCCAGCTATCTCTCTCTCTTGTTCCTGCACTCTACACTTTGAAGTTGGACTTCCCATTCCTGTTCCGTGAGTTTTTCCCTTACAATAAAGAATAATATTACAATCTTTTGGAGTTATCTTGGGATTATTTGACTCGCAGTTTTCCCCCCTTATACACATTTAGCTACAGTTTTTGTGTGATTATTCAGGTCTGGGTGGCTGGGAAAAAACACAGTCTCTGGTTACACTCCCCACTGCTGGGATTACAAGTGTGTGCTACCATGCCTAGCTATTTCTGTGGATTCTGGGGCTTGAACCTGGATCAACAAGCTTCCTCAGTAAGCACTTTACAGCTGAACTACCTCTACAGCCACCGGAACTACCTCTACAGCCTCGCCTCTACTTAAAATGTTCTTTGTTTGTGTGGTTGTGACAGTGTTTCATGCTGACTGGGTTGGCCTTACCTACGCTAAGTAGCTGAAGACTGAGGCTTTTGAGCCCCTGCTTTCACTCCCCAGGGACAGTATTACTGGCAGAGACCACCATGACCCATGTAAGTGGTCCTGCTGATCAAGACAGATTTGTGCATGTTTTATACATGCTAGGCAAGCATTCTATCAACTGAGCTACATCCTCAGCACCCTGGATTTAAAGCCCTCTATAAATCACAATATTCTTCTATCTGTTTGCCAAATACTCTTATCAATCATGCAGCTTCAACTCTCACCTTGCTGTTAGCCTGGATCCTTAACACTTTTTGTCTATGCAGTGGCAGGACGGGTATTTTTCCCTAGCCCGTACTTGCAATAGAAAATGTCTATAGACAGCCAGCTAGAGACAGGAAGGGCCTAAGCCTGACCATACAGGACAGGTTGATGCTGGTGCTGCACATGAAAAATCACTAAAAGTTGACTAGGTGCTTCTGCCAGCTGTTTTTCTGAAGCTAGCAATGTGGGCATCTGTTCTCTCCTTGGTTATTCTGACAAATCCAGGTAACAGCCTGCTCCACTGAGACTATTCTCCAGTGGTAACTCTTGTTGTCTCCTTCTACTTTCTATACAATATCACCTGTGTAGATCAACTAATTAAAAAGAACCAACAAACAACAAAAACAGGCAATAGAAACAGGTAAAACCATCAGAACACTTAAGTCTTGTATCAACTATAAATACTTGCTTCCTGATGAATTAAGGTTTTTAACATAAATTTTTTTCACTCTGGGTAAATATATATGATATGGTGATTTTTGTTTTCTTGTTTGTTTGTTGTTTTTCGAGACAGAGTTTCTCTGTAGCTTTGGAACTAGCTCTTGTAGACCAGGCTGGCCTCACAGTCAAGAGATCCACCAGCCTCTGCCTCCCGAGTGCTGGGATTAAAGGTGCTACCACTGCCCAGCGATATGGTGATTCTTATTGAATCCTCAAGAGTTACTGGCCTTCAGAAATGAAGGTCTCAAGATTTAGGAATGTCAATTTAGTCCTTAAAAGTATGAGGAACCCACACCGGGGATTGTCTGTCTACAGTTTCCATGGCTACCTTCCCTGGTGTGTGACTCAGGGACTAATGACACAATGCACAGGGAAAGGCGCCTCATTTTCAGCCTTTGTGTTTCCATGTGAAATATAATAACCCTTACCTCAGAGGCATTCTGTGAGGGAAGAGGAGGTCATCTGTGAACAGGGTCTGGCACACAGTAGGAGCTGCACACAGTTTCTTAGCAATGGTGTGCAATAAAGTGCACATAGGAAAAGGCACCGCAGATTGAGGATGTGCTTATGCTATCTAGGAACTAGGAAAAGGTGTTAGAAGATCAACACTGTTATCAACACACACAGAAAACATAACAAAACAAAAAAAAAAAAAACAGCTTTTGAGATCATTTAATACCTTTTCTCTAAAATTGAGTTTTACTAAATTTCTGTCTAAACAATGCTAAATAGAGTATATACTGGGTAGCTGACATAATCTGGTCAACAAAAAAAATGTATACCATAATATAATTCAGATATAGGTACCATAAAATGATTTAGATATCCTCACAGAATCCAGGATATAGGGTTAAAAAAGACTTTGTCCACAACGATTGCTCAGGGAAGAGATAGAAGAAGATACCAGGAGGTTCACTCTGAAATAGCCTGAGTGTGCTAAATTTCTTTGGACTGTCTTCAATAATTCTAAGAATAATTACCTTCACCAATACAAAAGGTATTTAAAGCAAGGGTATCAAAATGGACAAGCCCCCTGCAGATACGCCCTTGTACAATAGGAACTTAGTATCATTAGCCTAAACTAGAGAAGCATAGGTTTTCTATCAGACAAAAAGAATGAGTCCTCAGCAGCTCACACTTTAACAGAGGGAAGGTGGCAGATGAGAGCTATCCAGTGCATTCATGCAGCTCCTAGAGAAAGGCTGAACAGCAGGCAGATGGCATCGTGGATAGGAGGGTAGTGCAGAAAGAAAAGGGAGTACAAAATCAGACAGAATTTTGTAATAAAATACAGAAGTACTACACTTTCTATTTGTAAAAGAAAAATAATCCGATTTTGTACCTGATGACAGGGCAGGTGGGGTAGAAGAATCTTGCTTAACGGGGTCTTAAATAAAAAAGAGAAAGAAAACCCTGGCAAGAGGCAGACACAGAATCTGGTGCTGCAGAAACAATCTATGAGAAGTGTGATCTCCACAGTGAGCCAACACTGAGGAGGGGTTCCCTGCACTTTCTAGCTTGGGTGCCAAGGTGGGGAACCATATCCAAAGGATTTTTACCTCATCAAACCCTATGGCTGTAGCGGGGGATTGGTGGTCCCAGTAGCCTCTATACCCAGCTGGACAAATGACCACACTGAGAATCATATACCCGGGAACCTGGCTATGATTTGGAGTGGACACAGGTCCATGGGATAGACAATGAAAAGGTGGATCAAAGAGAAATGTGGGCAGACCTCTGCGAAGAGGAACAAATCTAGCCATGTGTGGTTAACGGGGGAAGGCTCAGTGTACATGGAGTGCAAACGGCTCTGGTCGGATAACCTTGTCCACTTCAGTGCCCTGGAAGGTCTGAAGGAAGAAGAGCACTGTTCAGCCACTCCTCATATTCACGTGTGTAAAAGCAGAGCACCTCTGGTGAGAGGGACATTCCAATTGGTCTAGGAATTCTGTTGCCAGAAGCAGCTTGGAGGCAGCTCATTCAATCATGGCAGATCTGCTGGAGATCGGTGCCAAACATTCACCCAGACACTGGTAGATTAAGGCAGGGCTGGATTATGCCTTCATAATATCCCGTCTGGGTCTGAGATCCTCCATTATAATTATTAAAATTTCAAAATGAGAAGATTGTGAAGGGAAAATCCTAGCTTTTATCTAAATTTTAAAGTAAACCTTGGAAGTCTAAGGAATGAAGGATCAAGGCTGGATCCTAGCACACAGCCCCTGCGAGAGTGTAGCTAGGCTCCAACTGAGGTCCAGAACTTGGACATGCCAGGAATAAGGAACATAAGAAAGCCCGTGGGCAATGAGCAGAGCCCACATTGAGGCCAGATGGGCTTTAAAGGAAAATACTATGAAGAAGGCATGCTATGACCTCTTCTGAGGGTCTACAATCTCACTACCGGTTTGCACCACACCCCAGACATGGGGCTACAGTATTAATGTCTGCCTTCCTGGATTCTGGTCTTGCTCTGGTTCGGGTGTGTTTGCTATTCTTCTACTGTTCTCTTCTGTAATGGGATTTTAATCTGTGCTAGTCTATCAAGGAAGAACACAACACATTTTTGAGTTTTACAGAGGTAAACCTTAGCTCTGAGTCCGAGGCTTTAGATTTTTGAACACTAGAACTGGTACACTTGGAGATGACAATGTATGTTTGCATTATAAGATGGACATGGGCGTTTTGAGGGCCAGATAAGGAATGCTGCAGTTGGGGTACCAATGGTCTCCCCGAAGGACTTACATACTCAAGACTTGGTCATACATTTTATGCAGTGTTCAGAGGAGCTTTAGGCATGTGATTTGGTCATGTGGTCTCTTTGCCTTTATCAAGAGATTAATCTATTGGATGAAAAACTATATTCTAAGTACCCCAAGTAGCAAAACTAGTATCTGAGAAAGCAAAATTCAAGCCAAAATTACTTAGATGAGACTAAGGTTAGTAAACATGAGTAAAGGTGTCAATCTTTCCCAGAAGATTGGGTGTACATGCTGGTCCTTTAATGACTAGGCAGAGGACTGAGGTGGATTTACAACTGCAGATTTTGAAAGATCTGTCAGGCACTCTTGGAAAATGAAGGTACATGTCACCATCTTATGTAAAAACATGGTAAAGAACTAACAGAGAACAATCTGTCATTTTATGCCTTACCTCATGGAGAGTCGCAGTATCTGCTAAGTCATTAAACAGAGTGAGTAATAAAGTAGAACTGAGAAGGCCGCTCAGACACACGATCCCTTTCCTTCGCTCCTTAGCTATGTGGTGATACACAGCTAAATATTATGTATCTAATTTGCGTCACTTATAAACAGAATTGGTGCTGCTTACCTTGTAGTTTGCTATGGAGATTAAATGGGTAATGAATCTCTGAAGACCTAAAGAGTTGCAAGGCACCTGCAAGATATTTTCTATAACTGGTACTAAGTCACTCTTTGAAGGCATAACAGTAACTTCAACAATGCACCATAGCCTACTTCTTATATATTGGCAAACGCACAGCAGGCCCTAAAGAAATAGAAATGATACCTAAATTATTCTTAATCTTGTGCATTAATTTAAGACAGCAAATGAACAACTTCCAGGAGAAATGAGTGCTTTCAGTCAGTTTCAAATACCTCCCAGAAGTCTTCCATTGAAGAAAAGAGAATTCCTTTTTCCTACAAAGATATAATTTTAAGTGATATTAAAATACAATATAAGCGGCATTACAAAAATTATTGTAAAACATGTTGACTCAATTATATATATACATACACACATTTCTTTTACTTTAAATATTGTTTTTCTCAAATAATGAATAGTGACATAAATTTAAAACATGATCATTAATATGATATATAATTTCTATTTGTCTAATGTTCTCATTCAAATTTCAAATAGTTAAGTCATTAACTTTTACTAATAAAAATACATTCACGTATTTCTTAAAACCAGTGCACTAAAATCACCCTTGGAAAAACATCATATATGAAATACTGATAATCTACATGCCATCCCCTCCTCTGCCCCCAACAAGGTTTCTCTGTGTAGCCCGGACTGTCCTGGAACTTACTCTGCAGACCAGGCTGGCCTGGAACTCAAAAAGATCTGCCTGCCTCTACCTCCCAACTGCTGTGATTAAAGGCGTGCACCGTCACTACCAGGCTTAATTAGGTATCATTTCTACAGAGAATTCATACTAAGTATAATCCTGGTGTCATCCACTTTAACAGTGGATACACTAGTGTTTAATACTTAAAAATTATTATTCCTGTCCATCAGTAGACGGATAAACAAAACATACAGCCATAAAAAAAGGATTATAAGTACACATTAAACACAGAAGTATAAAAAAACCCATACACAAAAGCCACAACATTTCATGATTCCATTTATGTTATACCCCAAATCAGCAAACCTACAGACAGAAAATATATCAGCAGTTTCCAGAGGCTGAGGAAGAGTAGATTTGAAAGAGGAGGCTAATACACCTAGGGCTTCTTCTGCAGACAAGAGAAATCTTGTGAGACTAGACAGTGGTGGTGTTTTCACAATGTGTTGAACGTGCTAAAGATCACCGAACTGTGTGCTCCAAAAGGGTGAATTACTCTCAATTTTAAACTTAAAAAGTAATGTTCCAATAAAGATCACAGTGTCCATGACTGTGAGTGGGAGCATAAAAAGCAAGTTCTCTAAGATGAAGACGACACATCAGGAGAATTTCTGGGCGAAAGAAATTACAGTATTTTAATTTTATTTATTTAAGGTGTATATACGTCAGAGAACAATCTGTGTGAACCAGAGTTCTCGCCCTCCATCACTGGGGTACCAGGGATCCAATTCCATTCGGTCTTTGGGCTTGGTGGCAAGAACCTTAGCCCACTGAGCCATCTTGCAGGCTTGGTAAGGTAAACTGTGATGACATATTTAAGAACACATTGAAGGAAAACACTGCTGTTGTGCTTCACATATAGAAGAGCTTTCCTACAAACTGAAATTAAAATTTTTGCAAGAAGCCAAAATTGTTAGGTAACAATCATTCCAATGTTGTCAGTTACATTATAGACAAATGAAGCCTGCCCTATAAGAAGGTATTCAGCCTAGCAAACAACGAACTTACCTTTCCAAGGGTGATCCAAGAATCAGCTGGTGAAAATTTTATAAATGCTGTTTCTGGATGGTGTCATTTCAAGAAAAAAAAAATGTACGCACAGGGATCTTGCTGCAAGAAACTGCCTGGAGGTAAAATAATGTTCTGAAAACCATTGACTTTGCAATGTCTCAAGAGGATGGGATGCATATTCATCTTCTGATGTAACACAGATTCTCATAAAATGAACAGCGCCAGGAGCTCGTAATTAAGTTTTGAGAGTGACCCAGAGCTCTGGCATCCTATGCTGGGAGCCCTTCAGCTTGGAGGCCTGCCCACTCTTGGCTCAAAGTCTTCATTATCTGTGCTTGTCTGAGGACTTGTGATGCTTCTTCTCGTCCTTATCTCCACAACTGTCCCATTTCTCTTTCTTTTCTACCTTTTCTTTATCATGTCCAGACTCCTTTTTCCCACTGGATACTTTATCCACCTTTTCAGGTTTAAAGAAATCACCTTTTTCTTTGCCTGAGGATTTTGACTTATTTTTTTCCTTGTCTTTCTCACTTGGATAAAGAGACTCACAGGGGCTTTCACTTTTGTGCTTTGAAGTCCCCAATATTCCATTTTCATCTTTCCGCCTTTTGACTAAGTCCAGAGGCACTTCCCGGTCATTGTTTGAATAATCCCTTTTCCGCTCTTTCCGGTCCTTCTCTTCTTTTTTCTCTCTCTCTCTGGATCTTTCCCTCGACTTGTCCAAATCTTTCTTGTCCATTTCTCTCTCCTTACTCTTGCACAGCAGTGGTGGAGCATGGTTGATGTAGAGCTTTGCTGACGACTCCTTGAGTTTGTTGAGACTTTCCTTTACTGTGGAAGAATGGGATGGAGAAGGATGGGAATCTACCTTGCGACGCTTCTCTCTTTCGGGCTCTGCATTATCTGTTCGGGAAACAGGTGATTTCAAGGACCCAGAAACTGGTGTTTTTTCTCCTCCTTTAACATTTTCTTTTGATTTCATTTCCTTTGCTAAATCTCTTTCTCTTGATGGCTCTTTCTCTTTTTCTCTTTCTTGAGTAGACTTTGAATCTATATTAGGGACAGTGATCCTGAACTTCTCATCTTTAGCTTTTTCCTCCTTCTTTAATTTTTCCTTATCTTTGTCAGATTTAGGCATTCTTTCCTTGGTCTCTCTTATTTTCTCATCTTTATTTGGCTGCTCTTCCTTGGGCTTTTCTTTATTGTCTTTACAAAGTACCCTAACTTCTGGAATAACAGCTGAGGTCTTTTCTTTTTTTTCTTTTTCCTTCTCTTTCCCCTTTTCTTTGTCATTTTCCTTAACAGCCTTGGTGTTGGAGCTGCTGTTTCCATTGTTTGAATTCCCTTTTGGTACGGCACTGGAGGTTTTAGTGACAGCTTTCAGGCCACACTGAGACCTTTCCCTTGACTTGTCAGTCTCCTCAGTACTGCTTTCATCTGACTTAGACGTGTTTCCTATGGAAGATGGCAGCCCGCTACAAGGTCCATTTGGTACACTTGAAGTAGCATTTCTTGGAGGAGGATCTTTGTGATGAAATTCATTTTCAGGTATCATGTACGACTTTCTATTTTTCAGCTGCCCAGATTAGACCATTGCTAGTACATACAGATCTGGCTTCTTTTCTTTCTCTTCTTGGCAGATTTTATGTACTCTTCTTTCCAAAGCCTGTCCCAGATTTAAAACTTTGGGGTACCATGGCAGTATTTTTGTGAGCACAATCAAGATATTTCTGATATGAGTATATTCACCTGTTTCAAGGCAATGTACTGATGCCTTGGTTAGTTTATAATGCCACTTATGGACAACATGTCGAAAATTTTCATAATCTAACTGATCCGCTTTATTTCCACCATCAAATCCAGTTGCTCGTAATATAGTAAGGAATCCTGGATAGTTTCCACATTCCTTCTCATAGGTGGATCTGTCACTATGCCACCTAGTCACCGTCTCTAACATGCAGCAAAGAAATCTACCATATCGACTAGCTTCATTTTCAGTAAAGCTAGCAACCATATAAATTATATCAGAGAAAACTCGATCATAGCAGAGAAGTGTGGAGAAATTTGGAGTCTTCTGTTGGTGGACTAACTCAACAAAATGTGCACAGTAAACAGAATCAATTGCTGAAAAAATACAACGAGGAAATATACACAGCTGGAGAAACTTTGTGATGGTCTCATTTTTAGTAGATTTTGCTAAGAGCCAGTTGTCCTTTTCCAATCTCAGTCTCTGTAGAACTCGTTGCACATGCTCCGTCTGTTTCTTTTCTTCTTCAAGAAGCTTGTCCTGAAGGGCAGTACAGCGCTCTTTCTCTTTTTTCTTTTTATTCAGAGGCATTTCTTGATTGTCATCAATTGCTTTCATCTGGATCTTAAGTTTATTGACTTCTCGTTCATAACTAGTGTGTGGAACTGCAAGGTCATACATTGTCAGAGACCAGAACGTGGTATAAAATTGAGGGCTGATATCTTCCCAGACTTTGGAAATGTGTAAGGAGATCACTGCTTCATGGACAGGAGCCATCACCATCTCACATGATGTAATGTATTTATGAACTTTATGTTGCTGTTTACTACCCTTCTCTGATTTCTTAAGTTCATCATACTTTGATGAAATATGGTGCGCATACATCGGCCGAGACAGAAAAAATGCTGCATCATGAGGCGTATGAAATTCATTACACAGTACATCAATTGAAGGTACTCTCTTTATGTAATCATCTGTGCTTAAATTTGAAGCTAAAAACCCACCAAACTGTACCAAAGTATCATGACACTGGTCATACAGCTTCCCTACAAGCTTCAAATGTTTCTCTCCGCCTTCCTGAAAGATCACACCATTCCTCTGCTGGGCCATAAGCAAACAGAGAGGAAGGGCAAGGTCATGGTCCAGCAGTGCATCCTTCAATCTCTGAGAGGATTTTTTAGTGTTTCTTATCTGGCCAAAATATCCACCCTCGGCTTTCAGTTGCTCCCCACCAGTCATAGCCTCTAGCTGGTCCATTGTCATTTCCTCTGTAACTTCTATTCCTGCCATTTTTTGTACCACTTCTTTCAATATAAGCAGGTCAAAACTTTTGCCTGCCTTTAATTGATTGGCTACATACTGAAGAAGACCAGCAAGATCAATTGGGTATTTACGAAAAACTGCACCACAGAAACTAGCCAGGCTCTGAAGCCAGCTTGAGATGGTTGTGTCATCGTGCTTCATTCTTTCTTTTTCTGGATTAGCTAATGCTTCAATGATACAATAGGCCAAAACATCATAATTCAACGCAGTGAGATATTTCAATGAGTCTACCACAGGTGTTATTAAGTTATCGTATTTCTGTATTTGTGACAAGACATAATCAAACAAAATGGTTGGATTGCTGTGGCTCAGTTTACCAATCTGTCTTCCTGAAGGTTTCACATTTTCCTTGGTTAGACGCTTCATAATATACTTGGCTCTGTCTACTGTTTGAGCTTTAATTTTTACTAAAAGTGGGTGACTATGGTAAGTCTCATTCTTCCATTGGCCATATAAGCGGTATCTATGCTGATAAGGAAATGTTTTAAACATTCCCCACAATTCCTCTGACATACACGCATTGCAATCCATCAAAGAAAGAGACGGAAGTAGTACCTGGTCGGTGATGCTAAGCAAACAACTAAAGATGACTTCCATTTTCTCTTTATTTTCTTGCTTCCCATCAGACTGAAATTCCTTCATAAATGACTTGCCTATGCGCACAACCTTTGCAAATAAGATGGGATCATGAGAAAGGTGGGGACCAAGATAACAGAGCATACTGAATACATCTCTCCTTAAGTCTTCAAAGCTCTCTGCTGGCTTTGGTGATTTCTTGTTTTGCAAAGCATTGACAGGTGAGCCTTTAGCACCTTTAGGAACACCAACTCTTCGGTAAAGAGGCTCAATAGTTATGTGTATAAGATTGCAGATAGCAAGGGCTATTACTTTATGTGATGCTGCATAGTACGGAGGCATTCGATCCATAATACTCTGTGCATGCTGCCAATCACCAATAACTAATAAGGCTTCCAACAAACCAAGTTTTTGATTGTCAGGTGCCTTCTCTACTTTATCATCTTTTTTCTTTTCTTTCTCTCGTTCATCACTTTTGTCAGAAGGCAATACAACCATTGTAAGTTTTCTGACAATGTGCTTAGCTTCCACAATTTCTCGTTTGTATTCATTCACAATGCAACTATCAGCTGGAAGAAGGTGTACATAAAGATCATCCAAATCGATAAGATTAAACTGTAGAAGTACTGCTGCGACTGTATACAAAGATGATGGAGTCTCACCATTTGGTTCCTGGTAAAACTTGAATTTGAATCCAAGAATATGACACAATGTTTGTGGTTCACACATATTCATGTAAGCTTCTAATAAAGATATAAAGAAATCATGATGTTCTGGCCTACACTCGAACACCTCTAATATGATATCCAAAACTCGATTGGGGTCTAGATTAAAGCAACCTATTAAAGATTTGAGAATTTCTAAGATTAAATCACTAGTAATATTTCCAGATAAATCTTGCCCCAATTCAACAATAAGCTTGGCATAACCTTCATTTTCTTCTCTTAACAAATTGAACTTCTGTTGTTTGTAAAAGAGTTTTGTCTTGATTTTAACTGACTTCTGAGTGAACTGCTGTGATTGTTTGATAAGGCCTAATGACTCCAATGTTTCTGGATCTAAGCGTTCCTTTAGAACTGTGTCTGAAACTAAATATAAACATGCTAATACCAACTGTGTAAAATGATCTCTCTTGTTCTTTTCTTCTAAACAATTTGTCTCAATATCTAATATGCAGAATATGTCGGCAAGAATAAATGGAATATCTTCACGAAATTCACTGATGTCACTGAGAACACTGGATGCCTGTTCTGGCTTTAAAGTTCCTTTAATGACATGGTATGACAACTCATAGAGAGCTTGTTGGAAATCTCTACAAGCCAAAGTGTCGCGGCTTTTACTTTCACTGAGAATCCGGCATAAACGCAAAAATTCGCTTCTCCCAGATTTCTCCCAGTTCTTGATCCACTCAGTGGGAACCACTAAAGTTGCTGCAGTCATCGCCATCTTCTCTCTAGTAGTAACAGAGCCCCAGGTGTGCAGTATGAACTTGTGCGAGGTCAAAGGAGAACCCTTCCCACGGCAAATGCTGGAAGCTGAGTGTTCTGAAGAAAGGGTTTTAGGGTTGGGTGTTTTGCTGATTCAGGAACCGGAAGCTGGGAGTGCTGGATGCACAGTGGTGCAGTCTGCTGTCTGGGTGTCTTTGTGGACTCAGCCACTCACACTGCAGGCCACTGCAACAAAGAAAGAGTCAAATAAGAGTCCAAAGGCAAAGCTCACAAGTTGCCTAGTGGGTCCAGTGGGTAGAGATCTGAAAGCCTACAGCAGACAAAGACTGGCAAGAGTAGACAGGTTAATCTTGCACACTTGTAGATGAAGAGGTGTTTTAGGAGTGTATATGCTGACTTAGCAAGTGAAAAGGAAGAGGCTGTTTCTAAAGTAAATTGGCCATGGAATTTCTGGGTGTACCTTGAGTGGCAGTTCCCAAAGGTATCTCAGTTTTCAGAAAGGGTTTTTCCTGCAAGTTTTAAAATCATTCAACTTACGTTGTTATGATAGGTTACCCTTTTTCTGATAAAATTCTCTTCTGCTTCCATCATCTAATTTAGTATTCTTTTTTCCTCTAAAAATTAATTTTATTTTGATTAAAGATAATGACTATTGATCAGATTATCAGAAAACTTGGCATGTTTGATGCCTGTTTTCTTTGACATGGCCTAAGTTCCCTAAGAAAGAACGATGTGCTATCCCTCTAGAAATGAAAATAGTCAATAAATTATGGAGTCAGTGAACCTTTCTAGAAATCATAGGGTAACATTTTCTCAGCACTCCAGCTGCTGTCACAGAGAAGGAGAGCTGAGGACATAGACAGACAGAAGGAGAAGGTCAATATGAAAAATAATACATGGAGAGGTCAGAAAAAGTACAGGAGAGAGGTGATGATTTCAAAGAACCTACAAATGTGATATAAAAATGATAGGAGTCACTGCAGCATGGAAAGTCTAATTTAGTATTCTATTTGACCAGTATATTCAATTTAAATTTTTTCTTGTGAACACCTCTAAAATATTACACTAGAGTTAGTATGATTATCATGTAAAGAGCTTTTTATTTTTCTTCTGCTGACTCTGGTTATTAAGATAACTTTGTTATTTAAGGTCAACTGGAGTTTGCTATTTCAGGTAGACCTACGTAGAATATAAATACTGAACATGAGAACAAGGAAAAAGAGAAAGGGATGGGGGAACAAAGCAGGCCATTTAAAAAACAGATGCTAAAAGAACTGCTCTATCTGAAAAAAAGTAACAGAAATAAAATATTTAAGTCAGCTCTAAGATGAAATACTGAAATATCAATGGCTAAATACATATTCAAGTACTCTTGGCTCCTTAATTTCCATGACAGGAAAATAATTATTTCTATTAATAAATGAGTTTTCATAAATTGTTGGTATGAGGAAAATCAGTTTTAAATAGCTTTCTTCATAGGTCCTTACTAAAATGTGACAGTCAAAAAATCTAATGAACATTCAATTTAATGGCAAAGACTATAAAAATAAAGTGGCTGTATTTCAATGAGAAACACAGCAAAAGATGTAAAGTGAATTATTTTGGTGACAAAAAATATAACTGTGTCTAAATTCACCAAATGTAAGCATTGCTTCAAAATGTAAATTAAAGACAGAACTGTTCTGTTGGAACCTCCAGCTGGCTATTGCATGGTCCGAGAAGCACCATTCCTGTCTCTCTAAATCCCTTCCACTCCGACAATCTCTGAACAAAGGAAAGCCCAGGTAAACATTCTTGTTGGCTAAGACAGCTTCATCCCCTGAAGTTGCCAGCCAGCCAAGTCCCCACCTAAAATGTTCAGTTTTTGACCACACTTGGGCACAAACCCAGCTTGTGACGAACGACCTGTCACCTACAACCTATATCATTTCCCTGCTTTAGTTCTGACATGGAGCTTCTCCAGCCTTAGTCTCTGGGAATGGAGAACCTGTCTGGGGAGTTGTTTTGTTTAAAAAATTCTGTTGCTATACCTTTTCAATTCAGCTTGATCTGGCTTACTACGTCAGCAGAGAAACCTATCATGGGGAGTGGGGAGGCAGAAAATTTATAAATAATTAAGAACTAAGGCTAAAAGAAAAATAAATGCTTATAAATATAATCTACTTTTGGGTAAATAATGAAAAACAAGTTGAACATATCACAAAAGGGCTGCACAAAATGATTGTATAAAAGTTTATCTATTTTATATATGAATGCTTTGTCTGCATTATACAGACCAGATGAGGGAGGGTCCCACTATAGATGACTGTGAGCCACCATGTGATTGTTGAAAATTGAACTCAGGACCTCTACAAGCACAGGAAAGCCAGTGCTCATAACTGCTGAGCCATCTCTTCAGTCCCCACAAGATGTTTTACAGAAGGAAATAGATGTATAATTTAGTTTGCTATAATTAGAAATGTACTTGTTTTTCTAAAGAGATAAAATTTTGATGAACTAATATATGAGAATTTGATTCTCTACACTTAAAACTAGCTTTCTGAACACAGATTTGCTCTTAATAGAATTTGCAAGAAATGAAACAGGAAATGATTTTATGTTGTGTTTTCTGTTGACATAAGGTTGAGAATGGTTAGAGAAAACTACACTTTAAAAGAGTTAGGATTTTTAAACATTTATTCTAATGTCTTTTAAGTGATTATAGTTCTGGTTAAATCTGGCTTATAACTCTGGTTAAGCAAACACTTTGATAGTATGTTAATAAAAATACCAAAAATTACATAAAATTTATTTTCAAAAAATTATTATTTTATGTGCATGGGTTTTGCCTTAATGTATACCATATGTGTGCCTGGTACCTAAGGAGGCCAGAATAGGGTGTCAGATCCATCAAGACTGGACTTACAGGTAGGTGTGATCCTGCTACGTGGGTTCTGGGAAGAGGACCCCAGGTCACCCGCAAGATCAAGTGTTCTTAACTGTTAGGTCATCTTTCCAGTACCATGGTTACAGACAATTATAAAAGCCTCCTGGTAAACACTGTCAGCCAGAATTTTTATCTTAAAATTCTATATACAATAACTGACAAGATCTCCTGAGTAAACTAGGGTGTGAAGGGCAGTGAGGAGGGTGGAAGATGAAAGGCAAAGAGGGAAGGGGAGTGGAGAAAAAATGTATAGCACATGCCTACCCAAACAATTAAAATGAGGATATAAAAAATAGAAAATATTAAACTGTCTTTGATATGGGATAATGCTCTGGTACACTGTAAAGATTTGTCACTCATATTAGTTTAACAAAACACCGATTGATCGGTAGCCAAGCAGGAAGTATAGGCAGGGTGACCAGACTAAGATTCTGAGAAGAGGAAAGGCAGAGAGACACAGTTACCAGTCAGATGCAGAGGAAGCAAGATGAGGATGCTTTACTAAGAAATTGTACAAAGCCATGTGGCTACACACAGACAAGAATTATGGGTTAATTAAAGTTGTAAGAGCTATTAATAATAATCTTGAGATAATAGACCAAACAGTTTATAACTAATATAAGCCTCTATGTGTTTCTTTGGGACTGAGCAGCTGCAGAACTGGGTGGCACAGAAATTTATATTTACATGTCTTAACTGAGGAACTCATTACAATTCTAACCATGCCTATCTGTAGTAATAATGAGTGGAGGCGGGGCTGCGTCCCCAACACCCCGGCCGCTTGGCTAGCTCAGGCCCGAAATAACAACACACAAACTGTATTCATTTAAGAACTGCTTGGCCCATGAACTCTAACCCTTACAGGCTAATTCTCGCACCTGGACTAGCCCATTTCTAATGATGTGTGTAAGCACCCCAAGGTGCACTTACCGGGAAGAGTCTAGCCTCCGTCCATCATGGTGTCTCTGCTCCAGACCAGAGCTGTCGGGTCTCTCCGGGAGCAGAGCAGAGTCTGACCTCACTTCCTCTTCCGCCCAGAATTCTATTGTTTCCTCCTCCCATCTATCTTTTAACCTATCAGGGCCAAGGAGTTCCTTTATTGCTTAACCAATGAAATCAACAGATTGATATATGACACTCCCACATCACCTATCCTAAGCCTTCTCATCCACTTTTGTTTCTTCTCTAAAATATCAACAATTAGATTCATAAAAAAAGATGTTAACAACTATGTTTAAATGAAGCTTTCTAATAAAGCTTATTTTACAAATTAATTTTTCTTGAATTGTTTTTTAATGACTATAAAAATAATTGTTTCATGGTTTAAATTAAGTATACAAACTAAATTTGCTTGGTACTTGTTGGGTCACTTTATATTTTTCCTTAGATGTTATTCAGTATTATAACACCTACCAAAGTAATGCTGACCCAATTTGAGATAATATCCATCCCCTAGAGCAGTGGTTCTCATCCTTCCTAATGCTGCAACCTTTTAATACAGTTCCTCATACTGTGGTGACCCCCAACCATAAAATCATTTTTGTTGCTACTTCGTGACTATAATTTTGATACTGTTATAATCATGATGTAAATATCTGTTTTCTGATGGCCTTAGGTGACCCCTGTAAAAGGGTTATTCAACTCCCGAAAAGTGCTGTGACACAAAATACCGAAAGTAAAATCTGGGTTTTCAAAAATGGTTCAGTGGATACTTGCTGCTTAGGCATGAGAGCCTGAGTTTGGATCCTCAAAACCCAAATAAAATCAGAAGCACGTATCTGTAACCCCACAGTTGGGAGACAGAGATGGGTAACAGATAGGCAGACCCAGGATGCTCATTAGCTAGCCAGCCTAGCCTAAACTGTTAACAGGAGATCCTATCTCAAGAGGAAAAAGTGGAAAGTGAGACATTTGATGCTGACCTCTGATCCTGGCAAGGAACTTGTGCAAATGCATGCATGCATATGTCACACACTTACAAGTAATATTCTAAAAATTAGCTTCAAGGACTGGAGAGATGGCAGGGTAGTTAACAACACAGGCTGGTCTCATAGTGGATGGGAATTCAGTTCCCAGAACTTACACAGTGGTTCACACCCATCAGTAACTCCAGGGCCAAGGGATCTAATGCCTTCTTTTGACTCCCATGGGCACCAAGCCCACATGTGGTGTGTACACACACACACTTGGTACACATAGACACACACAAGCAAAACATTAATACAAATAAAAAACACCAATTTAAAAAATAGCTTCCAATACGAGAAATTATTAATTTAAGATGATTAGTTTCATTACCAAGCAGTATATTTATGAAATACAGGCTCTTTTCTGACTTTGTTCAATAAAAGGTGGCAGTATTATGATTAACTTGAAAATTATTTGGGTAACATCAGGAGTTAATTCAGGAAGTAAACTAATCTCTCAATATGAAAAATCACAAACTTAAAATTTTGAGGAACAATATGGTGAAAGCTTCTTTGCCATGGTTTAGATGGCTGGTTTTAGATCTATTCTGAGTGAGAGGAGAGAAAGGGAAGGAGTACAGAAAACCCTTAAATTATCAGCCAAGTTAATATTTTCCTTATTTCCATCCAGCTGGTTCTGATATATAGGTATTTGGCATGTTTTACACACCACACACACACACACACACACACACACACACACACACCTCCATATTGGCAGTGGTGGAAATTAAATCTAGCCAACAAGCCTACATGGTTTATTTTCATAACACCAGAACCTTCCATTCAGCTCACTGTCCTGGTATGTTTAGTTATGTGCTTTCTTTTCATTTCTGTGTTTTCTTTTACCTCTCTGTCAGTGGTTCTCAACCTTCCTCATGCTGCAGTGACCCCCAAGCATAAAACTATTTGCACTGCTACTTCATAACAGTAATTTTGCTACTGTTACTAATCGTAATGTAAATATCTGTGTTTTCTGATGGTCTTCAGTGACTCCTGTCAAAGGGAGGTTTGACCCTAAAAGAGTCGTCCCCCGTGTGTTAAGAACTCTTGGAACTACAGAGCTTGCTGGTTATCAAAACAACTGTTAAGAGTAAATGAAGCATGTGTGTATTTGTATGAGTCTTTAGGATTTTTTGAAAAGCATACAAAAGAGTAATTTCTGCCAAATGTTTGGGCATACCAAGGAAACAGACCTTAAAGTTTGTTAAAAGCACACACTGAGTATTTTCAGTACTGTAAACAATCAGTGCTCGTGTCTAAACACCTTGGCTACGTTTCTTTCACTGGGCGAAGAATTAACAACAAGGCTCAGTGTTAATTTAACACAGCTTAGAGTCTGCAAATGTGATCCTGAAAATAGCTACTACAGGTGCTAAAATGTCTGAAGGTCAACGCAAACCCAGAAACCGTGATACACACTCCTAAAAGCCTGGTAGGTACTCCGTCCTTTCCTTGAATCTAAACTAATCGCTGCCACCCGGATTGCCAGCATTTCTGCAGCCTCAGAATAGTGCAGAAACGTACTTAATGCAACAGTGAGAGAAATACTGAAACCATTCCCAGTAATGTTTTCAATCTCTTCACCCCTTTCGCTCCCGTTTCCTGGTTTTACTGAACCTGGGCCACAGTCTAACTCTCCGAAGCTCACTGTCAGACCCAGCCTACTGCCCGTCAGGTGGGCATTTTGTATTGAGTGATGCCAACAGGAGCCACCAAACGCCCAGGCTCAGGGAGCGCCTGAGAACACCAGAGCTAATGGCCTCTGTTCGTCCGGGAAAGACTTGGAGTCCGCGGCTTCTCTCTGCGTGTTTCGCGACGGCCCGGTCCGCGGCTAAGCGCTTCGCGGAGGGTGGGCGTCCAGGCCTAGCGGGATGGAGGCCGCTGCCCCCGCCTGGCCCGCCCGCCAGCCGAACTCACCTCCTCGCCCCGGCCCACGTCGCCGGTCGCGGCCGCGGCCGCGTTGGGCCCGCGCCCTGCTGCCCCAGCCACCGGGAACCGCCTCGAGGCCGCAGCTCGGGAACGGCCTTCGCCGCCCGGCGTCCACCACAGTCGGCTCGACGGAGACCCAACCCCGCACCACGGAGCGACGCTCGTGGGAAGCCGGGCCGGAGATGCCCGGCGCCTGGATGACGTCACTACTGAGCGACAGCGGTTTCCCTCGCGTGCCCTGGGCGCATGCGCGGCAGGACCACGGTTTAGCGGCGGCTGAGCTGGGGCAACCAAGGACGCTAGGGTTGCCGGGGTAACTGTGTGGTCCCTCACCATTTCATGAAGGAGAATGCTAAACTCAAAGGATCCAGAGAACTTTCTGACGGACGATACCTGGTGGTGTGTTAAGGGAGCAGTCAGTTTCTTTCTGCAAGTTGGCAAGTTTCTGCAAGTCTGGACTTCCTGCGAGTCCAAGCTACAACACACAGGCCACGAGCTGGGGAAGCACGACGACAGTGGTTGTTCAGCTTAGACACTGCTGTCAACGTTTGCTCCCGACCGAACTCGGACGGGTACTTCATTACAGAAACATGGACATATTTTACAAAACTACTGCAGGTTATACTGGGGGAACTGGGCTATTCACTAGTGGTTTTCTGTCATGGTCTCCATCAGCCATAAAAAGGTTCTTTGATGAAGAGTGAGAGCTACGTCTTTTTCTTTAGATTAAAATTCTTTTTAATGTAAAAAGGCATTAAGTTTTAAACACATTAAGATTTGAACTCATTTTTTAAATTATCTCTGAAAATTACCATTTCTATTGCTATCTGCTTAGTGTACATATATATAATCATGGTTCATATATGTGTATGTATATCCAACCACTTTGTCATAAACCAGACAATAATGCATAAAATTCCTTGCCCTCTTCTAAGTGCCCCTCTGACTCTCATGTCTTTTGTCTCTGTGGCCTACTGCATTTAATTAAATCTCCTAGCATGCATGAGCTTGGGTGGGGGATTACTTACTTCCCTTCCTCCAGCAACCATTTAATGTCTTCAGCTTGGTGAGAACTATACTTACCTGCAAATTTCATGATTTTGTTTTTCTTTAAAGCTGACTATTATCCCATTGTGTATATGCACATTTGTATTGCCGATCCATCAGTCGAAGGGCATTTAGGTTGTTTCCATTTATGAGCTATTGTGACTAGAGAAGCAGTGGATATTACTGAGCAAGAACAATGTCAGGTCCTCTGGCCATATGAGGAGTGGAGCTAGGTCAAGCGGGAGATTCTTGAGCAGTATTGGCCGCGCATGGTCTCTTGAATATGGTCCCCATTTGGTGGAACTATTTGCTAAGTATTAGAAGGTGTTACCTTATGTCACTGGGAGGTGGTCACTGAGGTTCCAGTAGCACACACCATTCCCATGGAGACCTCTCTGCCTGATATTTATTAGCCAGATGTAAGTTGTGAACTAGTGCTCCAGCGCCATGCCTACCTGCCTGCTGCCACACTCCCTACCCTGATGGTCATGGGCTCATCCTCTGTAGGCCACAATAAACTCTCTTAGTTGCCTTGGTCATGATATCCATCCTAGCACAGCAATAGAAAAGTAACTAAGATAAGTGCTATTTTCTCCTCCACATATGGTCAATTGAAAAAGTCATGTGAAACAAGTCCCCCCCCCCCATTGTTTCCATTGTACCTAAGGGAACAAGAGCCCATTGGACTGAGCCATGCATGGTATGCCTAGTACGTGATATAGGCAAGCCCTCTGTGGCATATCTCTGGAATGTGCCTAGTGAGTGTCAGCTATCAGGTCTACACGCTTTTCTTTACCCAGAACTTGTGAAGGGTTGCTTTGTTTACTACTAGTACACGAGAATTACAGCCATTCTCGGAGGGTGGAGTAAATCTGAATTGTGCATGGCACGCTGCTTCTCAGAGTTCCAGCAGCCAGTAACATTAACAGTGCACTAACACACCCTCTACTGACATTTTTCCTGCTCTGTCTCTCACACTCGGACAGTCCTATGACCTGTGTTTCCCAAATGTCCTCCTGTCCTGAAGTCTTTGTCCTGGATTATACTTCTGTGAGGAAAAAGAAAAAAAGACTGTGCGATGGTTTACTGGGAGTCTATAAATGTATATTTAGTGTAAAAAGCATAGAAACGTGTTACTTGTGTCCTTACTGGACACAGCAAAGAAGGTACTTTTCCAGGGTCTATGCCACAATAAAAGGCAACTCTTTCTTATAAGGAAGCAGACACTTTTATACCTTGGTACCATGTCAAGTCTTTATTAAGTAATGTACAAACTATTACAGTTAGGAAATTCTTGATTGTCAGAGAACCTTGAGTATATATCTTAACTATACCTATTAGGGGGGAAGATAATAGAAAAGAGATTGGGACTGAACTTCCCAGGACCAAAGTAGAAAAATATATAAATGTATATGTGAAAAGAGAAAAAGAGTTCTGCAAAATTTTACAAGTTAAATGAGAAACAGTATAATAACAAGCATCGTAAAATGATGTTCCAGTTGACCATAACAGATATATGGCACGTGGTCGATACACATGGATACCACATAATGAATGCACTTCAAGTTGAAGTTTGTTTACATGTAACAACATGATACACATATGTAAATACATACTTACAATGTACCCCTGGACTGCAAACTTCAATACCCAGGGAAAAAACATTAGCATAGCATATTTAAAAGAGAATACAATAGACGGGGGGTCATCAGAATTAAGGAAATTCAACAAGCTTTGCTTCTGTAGAAGCTTCTAGAAAGGTCTGTCTTCTCGGCAGTTTGTTGCAGGTCTGATAAACTAAATGAATGCTGGAGAATTTCAAGAACAGCACTCAAGTCCGGGGCTGTCTTCTACCTGGTCTCTATCTGCTGAATGCCGACCAGCGTGGCTTTTGTCCTTGGCTCTCAAAAGACCAGGTTACTCAGCACTTTTCAAAACAATCATTTTAGCCTGGTGTGATTACACGTCCTTAATCCCAGCGTGCAGGAGGCAGAGAGCAGATGCGTCGCTGTGCGTCTGAGGCCAGCCAGGATTAGTCGGGGAAACCCAGTCTTTAACACCAACAACAGCAGCATATATTGAGAAATAGATTTCTCCCATCAATTTAGAGAGACCCTTGCCTAATGAAACCATTGCTGATATGCAACATTTAGCTGATCCCTTCTAATAATGGAAAACCCCTTAATATTAGAGGCCCCTTACATGAACTGAACTAAATTTGCATTGTATGTTTTCATTCTGAAATATAAAATGACGAATATTTGAGAACTATATTTTAGATAGAACATAAGCCAAACCTTTCCTTGTATAAAGCTTTTATGCATTTTTAACTTAAAGTACTGCTTCATATGTGCATAGTTGCTGGGTTAAAACTTTCACTGCATACGAAAATAAAATATCCAGTAAGTTTGTCTTACTCATTAGTTATTTTAATATTAGATTCAGCTGCAGTGAAACTAACAGGAGAAATTCCTATGCTAACAAAGAATTGAAAAGTCAAGTTTAGTGACAGACTAGGACTCTTTCCAATTCTCCTACCTTTTAACCTATAATTTATCCTTTTGGCTTTCCTTACCAAGTGTCCAACAAAAGTTAAATAACACAAAAAATAAATGATATGCTTAGTCCCACAAACTGGGAATATAATAGGAAAAAAGAGCTAGCACTTAATATCTATCCCAACTGTTCATACACATTTCAGCAATGGCTCCATGTCCGCACTCTGCTTGGGAGTTCTTTCCTACTCCGTCTGTGAGAAAAGTTCCCCCAAGAAAGGCTGGTGAAATAAGACTCCTTTCTTAGAAGGAAGATTGCAGTAATTCCTCAAGTTATGTCTCAGAGGGAAAAAAGCCTGGTTTTCCCTAAGGGACTGTACAGGACTGCCACTGCCGAATGCAGGGACTGGAGGGACTGGACATGAACTCAGAACAACTTTTAAAGGCTTCTTCATTGTCACCTGAAGACTTGGACAGGGCAGCTACTGGGCATACTTTTCAAATTTTTTTTTGTTTTCTGAACTCAATATTTACATCTAGATTTCTCACATGAGAAAAAAGTAAATCAATCCTCCTTGAACCATGGGTAAAGTTTACGTAAAATAAATTAAAGTGCAGACAATTATAACAATTGGTCACAAAGACCAGCATCCTCACGTAGCCGGGCGTATAAATATTGTAATTAACATTGCCGTACTGGACATCACCTCTTCGTGTCTGAGAAACACACATGCAAACACTCGCGGATTATTACACGTGAACATTGGTACTTCCATTCCCACCTCCGCCTTCTAGGCCCTCTGCAGACTGGGAGGAAGGAGGCCGGGAGCTTCTGGGGTGCGGCTGACCATTGAGTCCCACTTGTGTGCTCAGACCATGACCTGTCTGTGACGCCACATCATCCGATTCCCAGCGCTCCAACTCTTCCCGCACCAGGCGCTCCATCTGTTCCCTGTGGACCTCGCTGTCACGACCCAGTCTCTCATCCTAACAAGAAATTAAAGAAATAGCAGAAACCTGGGCATGCTATCTTTTAAATTATTTCACAATGCAACTGAGTTTTATGTAAAATATGGCGCAGTTATGTAAGACTGGAGGTGGAGACAGTAGGCAGTAACAATTCTGAGAGATGGTGTACTAACTGTTCACTTGATTGTTTGCTCCACTAATGGGAGCACTCTCAAACAGGGGTATCAAGAGCCACGCCTCCAGATTGTTTGATGTAAGGTTATATAAGGAGGATGACAGGAATCAGGTTAACAGTTACAAAATGGGAGGATTACCTTTGTGCTCTACAGAACTAAAGAATTTTCTGCTTAAGGGGGGAAAACCTGAAAACAGAAAGGAGTGGGGGGAGGGGGAGTTGTGTGGGAGGAAGGGGAGAGAAATGGGAGGCTGGGAGGAGGCGGAAATTTAAAAAAGAAAAGAAAAGAAAAGAAAACAGTATTTGTGAATGATGTAATGTAAACTTTAGTTTTTGCTCCTCTTCAATATTAACAAGTGAAAAGTGTCTCGTGTGTCCATTCCTATCCATAAAGACCGAGTCCTCCAGTCAGCGTCTTACGTTCATGACTGCTCACCTCAGCCACTCCATCCAGCAGCCTCCCTAGCACCTCTCGCCTCTTGAGCTTCGTCCGCTCCAT